CTTATACTCCCCTGACTGGCTTTGTCCGCAGTGTAATTCTGCTCCTGAAGATTTGAATCATCTTTGGACTTGTCCTTATATTTTACCGGATTTAAATCCTTGTTTAACACACCGGTCTGAAGTCATTAAATTTAGAGATTCTTGTTTATCTTCTTTTCTATCCTTGAAACCTTTGGATATTTCTTTTCAAACCGAATTCTCTGCTTTGGATTGCTGGAACTATGAAGCTCCTTCTTCATCCTGTCTTTGGCTTACTCGAGGATTGCTGCCTGCGCATTTAACGGCCTTTTTGAATCAACACTTTCCTCTCTCTGTTATATACAAGATTATTTCTCCTCTTCTTAATGACTTCCAAGTCGAATTATATGGTGAAATTTGGCTATGTCGGAATGTTCTTTTCCATGCTTGGGAAGAGTCACAGGGTATCTCGGCTGCTTCCAAATTATATGGCCCATCTACAATTTATTTCTTCTTCTATTGCTATTTCTTTACAAAAAAACAATTCTTCTTTGGCGTCAGTTTCTCAGGATTCCTGGATTTCTTGGATATTCTCTTCTATAATCTGGGGTGGATCATGGATTTCGCACTTGGATTTTCTGCACCGCTTAACAGTTCAACCTCTTAGGGTCTCTTTCTGGTAACAGACTGGATTTTTGGATGTTGGATAGTTGACTCACACTGGCCTTCGGGTAAAATTGGGGTATGCGATTCTGTAATAGTTTAGTTTTTCTTTGCTTTAATTTATTTTAGTTTAGATTTCTTTACTTGTATGAGTCGTGAAGCTACTCTTTTTATTTTTTATTAGTTTATTTTCTTATTTTTATAATATTGTTCGATTATGTTTTCGATGTCAAAATATAAATAAAAGATAAAGTCACAAGACTGTTTGCACAGGAAAAGGATAAAACTAGGGTTGGTCACCCTATCTCGGTGGTTAGTCACTGAGACACTCATTAAGCCTGAGTATGGTGAGGTCGCAGGTTCGATTACCATGACCACGGAAATAAAAAGAATTTTACTGCGGACGCTACAACCAATAGCGTGAAGGTACAGGGATTAGTGTAGTTGGATTGCATCATGGTGAATTAGTGTATACGGTTAGGCTGCACATTTCAACTAAGGGTCATGGTGTCCTTCTAACGTTCCCTATGAGGCCATTGGCATGTGCGCAGTCCTGTCCTTGAGGTCACTACTATACCTT